ATCCCAGCAGGGTCGCCCGTGGGGGACAGGTTTCAATCCCAGCAGGGTCGCCCGTGGGGGACAGGTTTCGGTGGAGCTTCCCAACCCAGACAGACCGGGAAGCAAGGCCTGGAGATCTCATTCCAAAGATCAGCCCGCGACAATCCCATGGATCCCGACAGAACCCTGTTGAGCCCGGTGCTGGAAGACAGGCCCCAGGGCTCATCGGGGCTGCAAACAGCAGCCACATTAGAGAGACAGCAACTCCGGGGGTGAAGGTGGAAGACAGGGGCCCTGAGAAAGGAGAGCAGAGGGAGGAGTGAGGGCGGACGGTGCGCGGAACTAAGAACATAGCCTTGTATGGAAACATGGTCTGTGCAGACGTCCTCTAGGAGCTCTCGCAGCACAGCTGCTAAAGCACATGGCTGCTAACCAGAATGTTGGTGGTTCAAATCCGCAGCGGCTCCTGGGAAGAAATGTGAGGCAGTCGGCTTTCCTAAGGGTTACCAAAACCAAACCCACTGCCAGCAAGTCGATCTCACCTCACAGAGACCCACTGGGTTTCCTAGATGGTAAATCTTTACAGAAGTAGATTGCCTAGTGTTCCTTCAGCGGAGTGGCTGGTGGGTTTGAATTACCAACCTCCTGGTTAGCAGTCACATGCCTTAGGCACTACACCACCAGAGAGCCTTCTTGGAAATCCTCTGGGGCAGTTTTGCTCTGTCCTCTAGGGGTGCTGTGAGCTGGCAGTCCTTGGCAGTGGGTTAGATGTCACTGTTAGCATGAGGTCCTACTGGAGGAGAGGGTCCTAACCCAGCTGAGGGACGTCCCATAGAAGAGACCAGACACATCAAGAGAAGAACCATGTGGGACGGAGGCAGAGATTGACTGATGTAGCTGTAAGCCACGGACCACGGAAAAGGAAGTGACCCCTTCCCACAGGCCCCACCTCTGTGCCCTGCCCCCCGCAGCATACCCCCCTACAGGCACTGCCCCTCTCGTCCTCCCACCAGTGTGTGGATTTGCAGGCTCCACACGCACACTCTCGTCCGTCAGACTGAGCCTGACACCCAGGGAGGCCACTTTGACAAACTGCTCCCATGCCCGCCCTCTTTGGGGATCTATTTTCTGAAAGACCCAGTGACTCCCATGCCCAGGAGTGCTCTGCTAACTTTTGTCATCTGCTCAAAAGAGCGTATGCCCAAGGAAGAGGCTCTCCCACCCAACACGCTGGCAGCTGACCAAGGGCTGTCAGCCACTGGGTTCCACCAAGAGGCCAGCCCATCGGGGTCCAGGACACCAAGACCGGCAGAGAGCTGGTGGTTTAGAGGGAAGGGGGGAAGCCCAAGAAGTGTGGGGACCAGGGCCACTCAGGCAGTGGGTCTTTGTGCAGGGCAGGTGGACTCGGACCCAAGTCTCTGACCTCAGATGCACCTGCCACAAGACCATGCAGACCAGCCCCTCGCTCACCCACTCCGAGAGGCCAGCATCTTCAACTTGTTCTCTGGGGTCAGAGTTACCACCACACCTTCGATGTTCCTCACAGCCTTCCCTTCTGCAAAGCCCTTCTCCCGGGAGGCCACGGCGAGGACGTACCAGGGCCCAAGGAGCTGTAGGGGGGCTGGCATGAGAGGGGTGCAGGCTGCCAGGTGCCCCCCTGAGGCATTGCCTCTGTATCTAGGAACCCTTATAGCCCCCACAGCCTCTTCCCCGGGGCCTGAGAGTCCCTGACGCAGGCCCAGCCTGCTCCTCGCGGCCCATAGCACTTCAAGGAGGGACCTGGCCCCCCAGGACTACCCAGCACCAGCAGCAGGTCATTACCTGCTTGGGGTCCAGCCTTCCCAACCACACAGCCTGGGCTCTGGGCCCCAAGACCAGCACCAGGAGAGCCACCAGCAGCATAGCCCTCACCCCCACCGCTGCCAGCACACCTGGCCTCTCCAGCCTGGAGCCCACACTTATGGCTCTGGGAGCCATACTGTGGGCGGCCACTAATGGCCAGAATGCGGTCTCGGCCTCGCTTCCTGCAAGGCAGTGAAGTGACCCAAGGGGAGGCCTCTGCAGTGGTGGCCTTCGTCTGCCTGGCCCAGACTCCTGGGGGCCGTGGGCAGGAAGCTCTGACAGCACCTGTCAGAGTCTGTCCTCACCGGGCACGCTGCGCTGGTCCCTGCGTCCTTCTGTCCTGGAGGCGCCATCCACGTAGCTAGTTCTGCGCCCTGGCCACCCCACCCCCACCCCACCCCACTCTCAACCCTGGCTCCTGGCCCAGATACCAAGCCTGGGGATAGGAAGGGCACTCTGACCCACCCTCAGCCCACTCAATTGCTGCTCATGCTGTTCATATCGTCCTGTTCCCCCACCTCCACCCCATCCTGTCCCCATGGCAGCCCTGACCCACATCCTCCTACTCCTGCTCCCCACCCTCCTGACCCGATGGGGCAGACATGTCTCCCTCACCCTCCTGACCCCACTGGGCAGACACGTCTCCCCTACCCTCTTGACCCCACTGGGCAGACATGTCACCCCACACTCCTGACCCCACAGGGCAGACACGTCTCCCCCATACTCCTGACACCATGGGGCAGACACGTCTCCCCCACACTTCTGACCCCATGGGGCAGACATGTCTCCCCCACACTCCTGACCCAGGCCCTACAGGACAGACACGTCTCCCAAGGCCCTTTGGGAGCTCTCTGAGGGCCTAAGTCTTGTCCTTGAGCCCTGGGAGAGTTAGGGCTCATTGCAATCTTTCGGCAGAGGGTAGGGCTCAGCCTAGGGGCCCCTGGAAACCAGGTGTGGGTAGCCATCCCCTGCACCTTCTTGGGTTCATTCAGTCATTCGTGCACCAATTATTTACTGAGGCAACTCCACACAGCAACACAGCTCCAGGCAGTCAGGCTCCATCACAGACCTAATTCCCCCTCTTGGAGCCCCTGCTCAGACTCTCCAGGACCCCACCCTTGGAGACCACTGAGATAGATGGATGGAGAGATGATAGGTAAGATGATAGACAGTACAGGGAGTTCCGGTAAGATGGCAGAATAGGCAGACAGACTGCACAGACCCTCTTCAACAAAAAAAAAGGGGAACCAATTAACACAGATACAGAAGATAATCCTGGACCCCTGAGCCTTGAAGGGAAGGATATGGGAGTGGACTAAACTCCAACTAGCAGATGAATTTGCATGAAAGCACCAAAAAAGGAGACATACGGAGCTGCGGTTTGGCAGCAATATTAACAGCACAGACAGCTTGGATATTGCCGAGTGGTGGTAGGACCTAAGAATTAACCTCAAATAAGCCAAACAACAACAACAGCAGCAGCCAGGGACTGAATGGAGGACTGCTCTGGTGGCTGGAGAACAAAAGGGGAAGCAGCGAAGAGGAAGATGGGCTGAGCTGTGGACTTTTGCCTGTCTCAAGGGCACAGCCATTTTGAATGTTTACAAGTGGTTTGACCATTTTGGATATTTGAAGTGACATCATTCTCCCAGATTCCAGGGGCTTAAGAACAGGCTTCACTTGCTGGGACCCCAAGGACATTCCAGACCCCGACACTGGAAAGGTGCGACATTCTCCTTGTTACTCTTATACCCCACATCCTCTTGGTGAATGGAGGTGCAGCCATCTCTCACTCCCACCTAGTTTCTGGGCCAGCAGGAATTCCATCCCAGTCTGTGTGCTCAGACAGAACTTTGGTGCCCTGCCCTACCCTGCTGTGATTCTTTTATTCTGTTTTCTGGTTTTTAGTTTGTTTGTTTTTGTCTGTTTTAAAACTACTACTATTCTTTATTATTCCCCTCTCAGGTTCTAGTTTTCAGCTTTCTTCTTTTCCCTGTTCCTGGTTGCAATTTTTTTTTTTTCTCTATCCCATGGTTAACTCTGTTCCTTGTTTTTCTTTTTGTGCTTTTCCCATTTTTTTCTTCAATATTCTCCTTCTTTACCTTTTTTCTCTTATTGCCCTCTCCCCGGATATTGCAGGGGTTTTTTTCCTTTTTTTTTTTTTTTTGTTCCTATATGAGTATACAGTGTATTTTTTTGTCCATGTGCTTTTCTTTTTTGATAGTTATTCAACCACTATTTTTGTCTAACTGAATGGAAGACAGCAACAGTCTCCATATGACACAACTATACCCACACCTCCTGCAGTTTCACTTACTGAATGAGAACCACCACTTCCTTCTCCACCAATGGGCCAATGATAAACAACCACCAAGAAGAGGCTGAATCACCCTTGGCTGCTCTTCACAAACA